GCCCACTTATGATTACATGTGTATATCTTCGTAGTCGCTCCACCAAATTTCTCTTCCAAATCTTCCAAATTTGACACAGTTGTTGGCGCCGTGGTACATCATACCAAACGGTTGAAAATTTTTAAATCGGACAATAACCACACCCACATCCCATATAACGCTAATCGCTAATACGCTCGGGTATAAAAACAGGGGTCTATTTTTTTTCAGCATAGAACAATCCTAGGGGGTAAGATCATTAAAATTCAGACTTCACTTTTTCAAATGCATTTTTGGACCACGCTAATGTACATACATACATACTACATATGTATGTATTTAACCGCAATTCTTTTTGCAAATGCAAATGTTTTGAAATTTTGTGATTTTCCTCTGCTTAATGATTTTCACTTTTAAATTTTCACTTTTGCAAACAATGACAGATATTTTTGTTTCAATGGAAATGATTATTTTTTTCGAAAGTATTCCTATTGCAAGAGCGGGGTCATTGGCGAGACGTGTCTTTTTCCTGATTTAGCGTATATATACAAATTTGTGTACATAAATATTTATGGTCCTATGTGCATGTATACAAATGTGATATATGCATACTTATATGCACATACTTCTTTGAAAACTGAAACACTCTTGAAATGATCTTAAAATATGTGAAAAATGATAGATATTCACTTAGATGTATTTTAATACATAAGTATGTACATATGTACACAAGTATTTACTATGAGAGAATCTGAATGTTTACGATAAATATTCACAAGCGATATTCATATCTGTGGACTTTTGACAAAACAACCTCTGTGCTTTCTGTAGGTTGCAATTTAGAGTAAATTATAAGGATTTTCGATTTAAAAACTTTTATTTTTTATTTAACTTTTATTAACATAGCATCTTGAACTACTCCTATTAATGACTAGACATACAAATATCATTCGAGAACTCAGTGAATTATTGCTTTGAAGAGAAAATGACAACACTCGAAAGAAGTGGTTTTGTCAAAAGTCCACAGATATGTGCATATGTATGTACATAAATAAGTATTTACACATCGCATGCATTCATCAAAAGTGCATTAACTCAAAATTCCCTGGCGGCGTTAAATTTTAGATCACTGCATTTGTCTTTTAACTTAAAGACGCACTCCGTAAATTGGAGTAGAAACTTGACCAAACACTTAGCAAAATTGTGAGCACCAAATATTTATTCGTTTTATTTAAAATGGGAACATTTTTGCTACATAAAATAAATAATGGCAAATATTGAATTAATGCACTTTCGATGATTGATGCGATATGAAAAATTTGCATGCAACCATACATTTTGCTACACGTATTTATGTATGTAGGTCCATACATACATACACATTTGGCGGAAAGAGAAAATATTTTATTTTGAACTTGAATTTTTGATGGTCTTTTGCAATGCCAGTTGTTCATTCGTTTCGGAAGAAACTTCTTATTCTTCTTGTTTGGGGCGCTGTAAACATCTAAGCGATTTTAGTCGAGTCGTTTCTCTTCTGTGCCACCCGGCGCTAATTGAAAATGGCAGAGGAGGCCCCAGTTTTCTTTGTTACCATCAGCGGCTATCGCGTTGAATACCTTTAGCGCTGCAGAATCAGATAAAAAAAAATTTCACGATGTGGAGTCCCTCTGTCTGAAATCGCTTTTGGTATCAACGGCTCGGAGAGGTCTTTCGCAATTGTGATGAAGCTAGTGGCGTTGCGTAGGGGATATCAATATCAATATCAATAAAGAGATGGTGTGTGTTGATATTTTTCTCGCACGTGTTTGCCCAAGATTTAAAGAATGACAAATACCAGGTCTATGTTGGCTTTACCAGGTCTTAAGCCACAAGGATACGGTCCAACCAGTGCGTTGACGGTGGGCTTGGGTGACCCAATTATGCGACATTTACGAGGCTAATCCGGTAGTTTTCCTTGTGAATTGGAGAGAGTACATTTAAATTCCGAATAGTTCATCTGGCAGGCCGAAGGCTCCAACTGCTTTGTTGTTTCCCCTACTTTTTATAACATTCAATAGCGCGGAAAAACGTTCTGGATATCGGTCACTAGCTTGGAGTGGTTGTTCTTGCGCGCTGGTCTTGAAAGCTTCCGTAAGTCGCTTAACTTCCTGATAAAATTTCAGGGCGGTTTTCCAGTCGGCAAGCTTTTAAGGCTCTTGACACTCACGTATTTCGGTCTCTCTCTTTCAGTTACGCAAAATTCGCCTAGGTTCTCTCTTCAGCTGCAGCGCTGCGACTTCGCTCGTGTTACCTGCTGAAATCCAACTACTTACTTTTTCGCAGGCAGTATGTAGAGAGCGTATGTGATACCATTGCTCGCATATGGCGGTTACTTGAAGGGTGCTCTTCAAGTATAAGAATCGAGTGGCGGATTAATTGGCCGTCTGTTGTGACTGCAGATTTTCGACGTTGAGCTTTCGTTGTACTCCTGGACGTGCTTTCCGTCTATTACAACGGCGTCGATTTAATTTCTCGTCTCTCGATCTGGAGATAGCTATCTTTTGGCTTTTCTGTTGGAACCCAGCGTTGCAGACTACCATATTTCGCTCACCGCCGTAGTAGGCCGTTTCGTCGTGGAGGCTGAATTTTCCAGAAGTTCGACCAAAAATCCTTTTCTTGCCCATCCTGGCATGAAATCGCCAGCAAGATTTTTATATCGGGATAGGGCAGCGCTAGTAGACGCGCTCCCAACCCTTATAAACACTTGAACACTTCATCTTTCTCTTCCGTCATGGTGTGAGCGCAAATAAGCAAAATGTTGAAGAATCTCATTTTGATGCGGATTGTGGAAAGATGCTCAAGCGCTGCGATGAACTTCAAAACAATGCGAGGAAGCCTCTTTACAGCGCTGCTTAACAGGGCAGCTGTAGTATAAGTCGCAAGGTCTTATGCTTGCCTATCTCCGTCCATCGCATTTCTTGGATGGCGGGGATGTCAGTCTTGGGCTTTGGGCGGACATCAACCAACCGGGCAGACGTACCTTCTCTTTTAAGGCTCAAGCATTTCAGGTGCATGCCCTCAATTTGTAGTCCTTTAAACTTCTTTAGGGGACTTGGTCAAAGGAATAGGACATTCCTTTCCATTGCAGCTTTGTATTAGTTTGAGAGTCCCAAACCTAGCGATACTTAGCTTTGCTTGGAGTCGGAGAGTTCCTCAATCGTTGCTGTCAAGCCAAAGCAACGCTTGACCAAGTAATCGTGTTGCTTCGACGGTGTCGGATAAGAGGGGGAGAGGTGCAAGTTGAATTGGGTTGAGTGGGCATGTGAAGAGGTGGTTGGTGTCGTGTTCAGCCCACTACAGTATTCAGACCTTAACTGTGCCAGAATGACGCATCTGCCAGGCAGCTGAAGATCTTCGTCTGCAATTGGTGGAGATTTTACTACGATTACGACATTCACAGGACGAGAACTGATAACGGTTTCCCAGTAAATGCCGTATACGTAGTTTTTGACCTCACCCTGCAGTTCGTAGACAGGACTTCTGACGTGCCTTGGTGAATATTCCGCCTCAATCAAGTGCCGGTTCGGGTGCTCACGTCTGTACCAACCTACACGGAATCTATTGTGGAGCATGATGCTGTGCTGCCTCACAGTCAGCATCTGGGCATCCCGTAGCTGTCCGCATTGCTGTACTAGTTTATATTGCGAACCGCTTGCTCCAAGACAGACACCCGCTTGCAGCCGCACCGCAAGACGCACAGACGCTGTAGACTTCGATGGAACCATAAACCGAGTGTGTTAGAGTTTCAAATCTTCCTCTGTTTTTTTTTGGCCGTGAACCAAGGCTCCACACGGGTTGGTTACCGCATCCCGTTCATGCGTTTCTCCGGTGACCAGGGTGCGCGAACGCCAACACAAAAAATTGGGGGGTTGCTGCTGTGGTGATGGTCCTTGGTCGGAGTGATTGCTCCGAGTCAATCCGGTAACGTAGAACCCCCGCATGGCCCCGCATGTGGGCAATGTCCCCATGACATCCAACACCTCTTCACATGCACCTCCAACCCTACGACCCTGACACCAGAAGCGGTCTGGACCGCGCCTATCGACGCTGCCCGCTTTCTCGGCCTCAGGCTTACAGAGTCGGAGGATGAAGACGACGATACATGACAGAACCTGTGGGGTTGAGCACTGCTGCTACAACAAAACAACAACAACAACGTCAAGTGTGAGGATTGAGTTTGGTTGTGCAACTGTGGCCGCAAAGACCATAAGCGATGGCATAGTTTCAGACTTCAATAAAAAAAATTTCGCTCAAGAGAGTTTTTTGTTTGATTTGGTGATGAATAGACTGCGGATATTTATGCAGAAAACGAAGCTTAAAAATATTTATTACATAACTATAAACAAAATGTATACAAATTTGTACATTTTACTTATAGTTAAGTGGTGCATATTTTGAGGCTTCGTTTTCTGCATAAACATCCGCAGTCTAGTGATGAATAGCGATCTTGACGTCCGTGGAAAGAGGTTGGCGTTCGCGCAATGGAGGTGATCGTGCCAATTTTATTAAAAAAATTGCTGTCCGAGTCGGGTCAAGAGATACTAATTTGTTGTCGGAAATCCGACAACCCTAACGCCTTTGTCCCTGTGGACCGACCCTATTAAGGCTGCACGCTTCTTAGGGATTCCGTTAGTGGAGCTTGACTACAACGACTGAGATATTAACCGATCTGGGCGGGGTTGTGGTAGCCGCTACAAAAACAACAACAACATTGCGAAAATTATACCTAAGACTTGGGTTAGGAAAAAATGTCGGCGTAAAGGAAGTGTCCAGCGTATGTATGTATGTACATTGGTGTCGGTTAGAAGAGGTTACACTGTTATTAATTCAAATTTTTTGGATAATATCCGGTTAGACAGTTAATTTTTCACTTCGTAAACAATCTTTAAATAACTATAAATTATGCATTCCGTATTCCAATGAAAGATTAAGATTTATTGATTATTAATTCTATTGAAATTGACATTTTTCCGTTTTTTCAGCGAACGGAATACGTAAAATATGCAAAAGTTTTCCCATTGGCCACAATGTTTGGTTTCAAGGTACCATCTAAGTGGTATCGGCGTACAGTTGGCGTACTGGAGATAACCTGTGGACTGGCTATGGCACTCATTCCATATCGTAAGTACTCTAACACAAGCAGGGCTCCTCGAAATTGCTCAGAAAATAGTCATAGTAAAAACTTTAACTTTAATGTTAAGTACACCTAAAAAATACGAGTTTTCTATTCGTAGATAAAATAAAAAATGCTGCCAATATAATACTACTATTGTTGATGATTTTGGGCGTCTATCAGCATTGGATGGTTAGCGATCCATTTGAGCGATCTGGACCTGCGCTTGTGTTCACATTCATGCTCGGTGGACGTTTAGTAGTTTGGTATCAGGTATATAAATTAATTAGTACAACTACATACGTACAACAAAAATTAACTCCACAATAAATTATAATTACAGACAAGTCGAAAAGATGCTGAACTGGCCGCTGCCGCTCAATCACAAACTAATGGCGTGAAGCAGGACTAAAAGAAGAACTTGAAAACATAAAAAATACTTACAAGAAATTTAAAATCAATAAATTTTAATCATACATACATACATATTTAAGATAACAACATAAACCAAAAAGCAATTTCTCGCACATTAATACATAAGACTAGGGTGCAATCTAGCACATAAATGCAATCAGATTCAATTACATACTACATGCATATACATATACATAAAAGGATAAATAACATACACATTATTTATTTATCCTATTGTGTCATAAAAAACTTCTCACATTTGAAATTTCTTGTTTAAACAACAAAACGGTCTTTATGTTATGTGCCAAATTATTTTCTTTCCTTTTCTATTTTAAACATAATCTTACTGTAAATCCCAAATAAACAGTAGTCCTTGAATGGTGTTCAATGCAAACTTAATGAAAACACACTACATAGATAATTCAACCCATAATTAATGTGTAAGATTTTAATCGAATGCTTCCTCCGAATACGAGATGAAAATATTCAAACCCATATTTAAATGTATATTAGTTTTCGCAACATCATTTACGACTAAGTAGAAATTGGATATGGAACTTGTTTTCTTTTATAATACAATCTGCACGCAATTTTAATAAAAAGGTTCAAAACAAGGCTCAGTATTTCTTTGGATATATGAAGAATATTAGGCAAAAGTAAGTACATATGTGTATATGTAGAAAACCTCAGTGGAATTATTTTCTGGTATATAAAGCACTTGCCGAAGAAAAAAAAAACAAAATATTGATACAAAAAAAAAAAAATACCCTTAAAATTTAAACTTGGAAATTTGGTTTTGCTTGCCGAAATTAGATATTTTATTCTTGCATAATACTTGATAACAATCCATTTTAAAGGCTTTAAGGTCAATAATTAAAAGATTTGTAACATATTTATTTCCATATACTATGTATACATATATATATATGTATTTCTTATTCAATTTAGTATTTAGTTTATTACTTAACATAAACTGCATAATACAGACTAGTATATAACAAAAAAAAAATATTAGTGAGTTTCAATAGCTCCACATCAATATACGCAGAGCATAATTACTTGATTCGCAAAATCAAGAATTTATTCATCTTCGCCGGTAGTTAGGAGTTTTAAAGCTTTCTGAAGATTATCGATAGCTGTTTTCACATCATCAAAATTGAGAGCTGTGCCAGCGAATTTCGTGTATTTCTGCGCCTTCATTATTTGCTCAGGTGTAAGTTGCAAATCCGCAACTGGCGTTGGAGGTATATATATTCGATTAGGCTGTGCTTGAGGCACATATGGCTCGAAACCACCAGGTTTTTCTTCATCTACAGGAGGACTTGGCAATTTATTCGGGTTATTAAGAACCTCATCTACAGTAGGTGGAGGGCTATGTGGTGGTGAAGGATCTGGAATTGATGTTGGAGCTGTTTCTTCATCAGCTGGTGGATCTTGCGGTATGGCGGTGATATCAGGATCCCCTTCACCATCGCCTGAGGCATTAGCTTCTGTGCCACCACTAGCACCAAATTCACCATCTTCGTCGGCTGCCGGTCCCGGCAATGGAATTTCGCCATTCTTCAGGCAATTGTGAATATAAGCTGCCTTCCATTTGGCATATTTACGGTTGTTTATCGACTCTTCGGAAAGTTCGCCAAACGTTTGGAGCACATCGTAAATAACGCCACTAGAGTAGAAGGCTTTTACAACATTTCTAAAGAATAAGATTCAATTTAATTTTATAACTTTTTAATACATTTATATGCAGAAATCGGGCAAACTTACTTTCCGAAATTCGATTCACGATCTTGCTTATCCGCATATAGAAAGAGTTTCAGGGCGTAATTTTCCAAATGTGCCTGTGCTGCTACTTCATTTGTGATAGCTTCGTTTTCCAACTGCGACTTCTTTGTACCCTCCAACCAGTCCATTATTGCTGCAATCAAAACAAAAAAATGAGTCATTTTAAGAGTCTTTCCATGCCGCGCACATCCCCGCCACAATGATCCAACATACCCAATAGTAGTTTGCTTTCATCTGGTTGCTGGCTGGAGATTTTCAGTCCAATTTGGAGAGCATAGAGGCGCGACCAATACGCTACAACAATATCACGAGAATCATGTTCCTGCGCTATCTTGAGGAAATGCTGAATTTGCTTTAAAGTTGGTGGACAAGGTGGAAATTCCATTATTATTGCTGTAACCAATTTATAAGTTCACAATTTTGCACTGAATACACTGAATTTGACAAGACCAGCGTTCGGACCCAACGGCAATTGCACTACATATACTACGCTATTTAATGTTCTACTGCGGATTTCTAATCTATTGCGATTTATTTTATGAATTACATATTTTTGTATATCTCTGTTTAATACAAGACAAAAAACATTTGTTTACCACCATTTGAGTTATTACTTTTTTTTAATATATAAATTTGCCGATGGAAAAGATGTATATTTTTTAAATTAGTAAAATGTGTTTCAGCAACATGACAAGCATGTATTTGTATGTACAATATATTTTAAAATATAACAATTCTTATTAGTATAAAATGTACATATATGCTTGTAAATTAAAAAAAGAATTAAACAAAAAACCTAGTATATACGTAAAAATTCATTTTAATTCTGTCGTAATTCTTGCGGCTTACGAATTTTACGTCCGAACCCTGGTCACAGGATGAAGTCAGAGTTGTCAAATGTCAGTGGAGCGACATCTGTTAGTGCTTAGTAAAGTTTAAAAAAGTGTTGCCGTTAGAATCAGCTATGGCTGGCTCAACCTCAATTGACCCGACTATGTACCGTCCTCAAGATAGTCGGCTCTGCGTAACCGGAACAGCCGAGATTCATATCTGGCCAAGGACTGCCACTTCTGCATCATTCCCCTAAAACTCTTTGGGGGAATTTGTATGTTGTTACAACAAAAACAATGATGTACCGCTTTTCCATCCCACTACCGTCGGCTGAACGTAGCCACAATGACCCAGATCTATGTATATTTGGTCAAGGAATGCGATTCCAGCTAATTCCACAAAAACTCTTTGATGAATTTGTATGCTGCTACAACAAAGTAACTGCATTCCATATATGACATTCAGAGTATAATCCTCGGGAAAACTTCAGCTGTCACGAGAGACGCGCGTACCTCTAGGGCATAACTAATGTCCCACATTCACCAAAGACGTCTTCATTTGTACCCTGATATGCACTCAGGTAACATCCGTCTACCTTTTCTAAATTCAATTCTGACCCCTTCGAAACCACAAGTCTCCGTTAATGGAGCTTTACGGCAATTGATAGACTAGCCGATTTATGAATGGCTTAGTAGTGTCGCTACAAAAACCTTGAAGCTCGCAAGAGTTCCATATTGACGAAGATATTATTCAGATATGCCTTTAAATTTTAAATGGAGAAGTGCATCTCATAATTTTACATTTGTTGATCATATTCTTATATGTATGTACATAAATGTTAGTTCGCATGTGTAAATTAACCTGTGTGAATAAATTACCCCTGGGTTTCACCACTGTAAATTACTTCCCACATGCAGCGGAAACAGAAAATTCCCATGGAATGAGTGCTGTGAAGAATATACCTGTACATACAAATTACAAAAATAAATAGAAATCGCATTCAGCGTGGGAATTTTGCTTAGGTTCTATGTAGGAATAAAAATACATAACAGTACTTTTTGTTTTTTAAATTTTATTAATAATTCGAGTGTGAGCAAAATATACAAACAACGGTGAAAATATATAGTTTTCGTAAATATGAAGTTGTTTTAAATGATATGTTTTGATTATACATATTTCGGCGCACTTTTAAAGTGGATATATGGACGGATATACATTTTTTCTAACTTAATAAACTTTAAGTATTATGTAAATTTCAAATATTCATACATAAATAATACAAAACTAGTTCAAAATATTTCAATTTCACTAAATAGTTAGAATTGCGGAAATGGTTTCGATACTGATATATATTTGGAATGTTTTTATTTGTAGATTTGTACAATATTTTATTTTTAAGGCACTACTAAATATGTAGATGTCAAGGTCAAATGCTAAATTATCGTATGTATACGCATTATATTCCACTATTGTGCGATTTCGAAGCTTTAACAACCTGCGTACATATTATGCTGTATTTTTTTTTTTTTACAAAAGGAAAACTTATTTGTGTTCATTCAATTATTTTTTTGCCATAAAACTATGTTCCTATACATACATTCATGTATGCATACTTAGGAATGAATAGGTGGTATGAATAAAAAGCGAAAGTTTATGCAATTTTTGTGGCAGAAGAAAAAAACGTTAAATTGCGTGCAATACTTTATTAAGCGCCGTTAGTCTAGCATTTTAAGGCACATTATTAAGTGGAGTTGTAATACATATCTTGAAAAATATGTTTGAGATTCATTAAAGTTCTATTTACTTTCATAATATTTGCAGGTTTCGACAATATGCATTTTGTAATGTGCTCATAATAGCGATAGGGACTCACAAGCTCAGTACAAATGGCTGGTGCGACTGCTTTGCAAGCATAGGTATAGCAGCAAACATGTACTAATATTTTATTTAAATCGATTTTGAAAATGTTCGCGTTTGCTATTTTGATGCTTGCTTTTGCATTTTAACATTGTGTATTAGATATGATTTGATATTTCAATTAAAATTCGTTGTTGGACAAATGCAATGGTTTCTTTTTTCCATAATTCAGTCTTAAGTGACTTTAAAAATGATGTATATATATAAATATGTAAATGCATGTCATAAGTACCAACTGAGTTTCTTAGCCGTCTGTGTACTGAATTAAGTGAAATCACTATTATGTACATAAATATGTATGTATGTACAATGTATGTGCATTTGTTGTACAAGTATATGCTAGTGATTCAACCCTGTCCAAAATTGCATAAACTTGCAATTTTTCGCGCTTTGATGTTAGTAGCATTAGTTGCACAAATCCTTAAACTTACATACGTAATTATTACTTTATAAAACTTATTAAAACTGGTTTTTTCTTAGAAAGGACGGAGTTTAAATGCGTATGAGTGCATTAAAGAATACATTTTTAGAGCCAAGATCACTGCTTAACTTATTTTATATATGGTTTGAATCTAAAAAATATGTCAACTTAATTCTTTTCTTATCTACGATAGGTTTGAACGCGATTTGCTGTTATAGGCCCGCGCCATTTGTGCACCGCTCTGTCTTTAAATGCAAGTGTTTTCTCTTGCGACTTACTTTATGCTCCAACAATGTGAGCTGCTCCGTCGAGAGGTGACGCCACCCCTAGGCTTTGCCCTGCACCAACTCAAAACGTGTCTGTGATTCTTTGAATTGCATGCGTTTTTTCGCTTGAACATTTTGTTCGGTAAGAAAGAGTATTGCCGTAACCAAAGAAAACACCGCTCCAACGCAAGCCAACACGAATGACCAACCGAACCAATTGTTGGCATGCTCCGGCATCCAACCATTACGATTACCAAAACATGCAAAAACGATGACTGCAATAGATGCAGCTACACCTGTGCCTAACATTATATACCCAATTACCTTTATAAGCGTAACGAAGTACTTTTGATCCGGCCCGGCACAAAGGAAGAATACCAAAACACCAACGCACGATACGAGCGCTCCAATGAAGGCAAGCGTATAAAAGAACTGTGTCGCAATCATGAATGCTGGCAGCAGAAAACCACGAATCTCGTCATAACCTGTTGTAAATGGATCATATACCCATCGACATCCAACGAAGAACCGACGTTGACTGTCATCATTTACATCAGGTAAAGAACGGAAGCAGTGTACCCATAATCCTAAACGCTCCAATTTCGCACCTGTTATTCGGTCATCACTAGCCAGCCAATTGGGTGTGGCGAAAGAGATGGCAATTGCAGCGAATGCGATCACAAACACAGCAACGCCAAAGGTGCCAGCCAAAGTACGTCGCTTCATTGTTGGAACAATTACTTTGTAGTGAGTGGTTGGCAAGTGCTCTTCCGAATCCTGGCGAACGATATGCGAGGATTTTTGCATGCTTTTGAACGCGACGATTGAATTGTTTTGATACAAGCACTGTTGGTATTTTCTTTATGGGGAGTGGTGGATTGTTGCTATACACACTGACAGCTGTCACAAGTGCGGTTCGCAACACGAAGTGCTGCCATGCTTTTCGTTCTTTTTTAGATAAATTAAAATAATTTTTACAGGTGGTTTATTATAAAATTATTAAATTATTAACAGCGTTTTTTACTTATAAAACTTTATTTTGCAGCTTTAAATTTATTTTTCAAAAAAACTTAAGAGGTTCGCGTCTGGACTAAATCACCGAAAGTGCTACCTGAATCGGTTAGGGCAGTGATGGAAAAGTAGGCACAATAGTGTCATTTTTGGCACCTTACTTTACAGAGGCACTTTCGGCTTAACTCATTCAGAATCAAAAATTCAGCATACTCTGCCAATGTATAACAAATAATCATATATATATATATATTACATTATAGGTTCGAGAAGTCAAAATTAAAATCAATTAAAAATTAAAATAAGGGACATTAGATGCAATCATAAGAACTAATCATTGTAGAGAAGATTAGTCAAAAAAGAAAAGTAATTTCTCAGTTTTCCCAGTTTGGCAAGCTCGGTGTGAAGACCCATACTATTTCGGAAAATATATTCTTGTTAAAAAGCTTCAAAATAAAACAATTTTAATTTTGTGCCTTTTTCATCTCCTTTTCGGCGCTATTTCGCAGTCCATTAGGCACATTTTGAAATTCCATCCCTGGGTTAGGGACCAAAATGCTCTAACGGAATCGGTTAGAGACTAAAGCTGAAATTAGTCAGGAACGTAAACATACCGGTACGTAAACCCGAGTCACACGATCTGTCTTACCAGAGCGCCATGTAAATGAAAACTCCACACCGCAGAATTTTTCTGTAGTTGTAGCCCGTAGCGCAGAAGTCTGTGGAATTTAGATTTTTCCGTGTCAGCTAATTTCTTCCATCTTTAGATGGTTGCCACTTCGTCAGTTTTGCAGATGGTAAAAAAGTTATAAGTTCCTATTCAAAATCAGACTTATCATGAGTTTTATTTTCACCGAACCGATTCACTTTTCACTTTTGGTTTCCATGGTTTTACTATGGGCGGATGACAAATTTTCGGGTGAATTTTTTTTCAGGCGAAACTCAGGATAAGGCAGAATATGTTTACAATTTTATAAAATTTACTATTGAATAAGGATTTTTGTTGAAAACTAAGTAGTTTATATGTAGCTACAATCAAGTATAGCACGAAAAATTGTAGTTGAAAGGGTAAGTTTATGAAAAGGCATTGATAAGTGGCAACACTGTAGTAAGCAACACTGAGGGCTACAGTAATCGACAAAATCTGCGTATACAGACTGCGTTTAAGTATACGTTCTGCGTTCTTGACTAATTTCAGCTTTATATGCCCCAATATGCAGTGGCTTTCAAAATGTGCGGGCCAGAAACGTAATACATACGTTACTATATATAGGTTTGTTTCACAGAATTAGCAAATGCATACATTTCTGAACCTTTAGTGCTATTTTCCATTTTTGTATTTTACAAAATTTGCTATCGGATGTAACCAAACAAAAGCTGTTATTTAAAATTGACTTCTTGCACATTTCTGCCCGAAAAAAAAGTCCGGGCTGTTTAGGGCACGAAGAAGAAGACATTTACGATCCAATAGTGGAAGATATTCGCTCTCTATTACCCATTTTTCTAGTGTGGGGAACGCTTTCTCGGCTGTTTTAGGCACCCGCGGGCTCTTGTGGAACACCCGGGTAAATGCGTACATGTACATACATATGTACATGTCGCCGTTTAAAGTACAAAACCGCGTATCAACAAAATGCAAAACCGCGTATGTGAGGTTGTATAAATTATTTTCTAGAGAGAGTAAAAACAGTCATATTTCAAAATGGTTCTCTTTTTTATAAAGCAATCGCATTTCTGGCTAGTATATTTTAGGACGAATGGATAAGGCTCGAGCCAAGAGCTTGTGTGAGCAAATCCAATTTTTGGCAGCCAATGTTAGTTACGCGGTTCTGCAGAATGACGATACGCGGTTTTGTAATTTAAACGACGATATGTATCTACATACATATGTACAGGGATTTGCCCATTTTCACCGCTACAGAGTGGTGATGGTTGGAGAGTTGTCTCGTTAAAAATTTCTTAACAACACCACTCTGTGACTCTCTCATCGTTCGAGATATCTGGGAAACCCCAGCGAGGCATCGCCATGGATTTCGTAAAGTGCACAGCACAACTATAGCCCTTAACGTCCTAAACTCCCAGATATCTCGTGGCCTGTAGCGAAATCGCGCCTTTGAGAGAACACTCCAAGTGGCATTGGATTTGTCAAAGGCGTTTGATACCGTCAGCCACTCCACGATACTAGAAGACATTGACTGTTTAACTGGTACTTCTTGAAGCTCACTTAACCACCAGAGGGAGACTTTGTTGTCTCTTATGCAGACGACTGGTCGCTAATGGCGTCCGGGAATGCAATCGATGACTTGTACTCGAAAGTAAACGGTTACATCTTTGAACTTTCTCGCTTCTTCACTGCAAGCAGCCTAACCCTCTCCTCCACGAAATCCACTTGGCAACCATTTTTGCAAGCTGGAAAAAGGAGGTCAGACTACAGCTGGGAACTGACGTCAATGGCGAACCATATCCAGCGGTGAATACCCTAAAAGTCCTCGGAGTTAGCTTCGATAGTCTGTTCTCCTTCGCGGTGCATACAACCACAACAAGGCCCTCAAGTCGCTAGCCGGCAGCACCTGAGGCAAAGACAAACAAACGTTGTTGGCAACATACAAGGCAATTGGACGGCTGGTTATAAATTATGTAGCGTCGGTGTGGTCGCCGGGGACTAGGATGAAATTACAGACATGCCAGAATGCGGCACTCCAGATCGCAACTGGATGCCTTCTGATGACGCCACAGCACTATATTCATGACGAGGGAGATCTAAAATCAACAGACCCTCACGATTTGTTACGTTCCGCTCCTTGCATTATAACCCAGGTAATTGACAAAGATTTATTTGTCATCAATTCGTCAGCTACGCTCTAAGAATTCCTCATCATTGTTAAGTGATATTGATTGTCCTTAAGATATCGAAATGGCAGATATGAATGTATCATAATGAATTTTTACTATAAAATACAAGAAGAGCTAACGGTAATTTTTGCATTCCTAAAATAAAAATAAAAATACTGTAGAATTATGATGTTCTTCCTGCAAGCGAGCGACATGTGCTTATTACATTCCTAATCGTACTGAAAGAACATTTCGCTTATGGGTTTGGTTCCGTTTAAATCTATAATTTCACTATTGTTAATATATCAACATCGAAGATAAATGCTACTCGAACAAAATCAATGATCTTTTTTATTTAGTTTATAGCACGAGAACGTACAAGACTTTGTTAAGCTCATACACACACATATTGCATACTAATTGCTGACGCAGAAGCTGATGATCTCGTTTTGCTGCTAAATCATATCCACACTGTGCGCATAAGTTACAAGGTCATTTGACTATTGCCGTTGGAACGGGAGCGTGCTTACTAGCAATTCGTTAATAGCTACATACTATTTTGACATAAAACACACCTATATTTTGCACTTAGGGTGACTTTAAAATCCATCATATTTGCACCTGTCACTGCCAAGAGTTATGAGTAGAATATAAACATATCGTCGTTTAAACTACAAAACCGCGTATCAACAAAATGCAAACCGCGTCACTCTGGGAAACGTGAGAAAACCATGTGCGAGATGCGGTAACCAATCCGAGTGGAGCCTTGGGTCACGGCAGAAAGAGACAGAGCTTCGGTAGAGCCACTCCGACTTATTCGGTTTAAGTAGGTGGTGCGGCTCCAAGCGGGTGGGGCTTTTTTGGAGCAAGCGGCTCGCTATATAAACGTGTATTTGGTTGCGAAACCACCGCCGTCCCAGTAATGGGTTGTGCGTTTGGGCCCCGCCACGTAAAAACCCCTTCCAGTGATGCCTCGGATGAGCGCCTACAGGGCTACGCTGCGATCGGGCGCAACGCGCGCTATGTGGGACCGCTATAGGGATCTGAAGAGGGAGGCGAGATGAATTTGCCGCAATAAGAAGAGAGAGGCCCAAAAACGTGAGTGCGAAGAGCTTGAAATGCTGGCCGACAGGAAGAATTCCCGGAAATTTTACCAGAGAGTTAGGCGACTTACGGAAAGTTTCAATACCATGGCGTACTCCTCTAAGAACAACAATGGAAACCTAGTTACCGATGTTCAGAACATACTTGAATTATGGAGGGAACACTTTTCTGCCCTACTGAATAGTAGCAACAAGGAAAGTTGTGAAGAAGAAGAACCCGAGCCCCCAGCCATTGATGACGGAGTCGATGTTCCTTCGTCTGACTATGACGAGGTACGAATAGCAATAACGCGGCTGAAAAACAACAAAGCTGCTAGAGCTAATAGCCTGCCAGCTGAGCTATTCTAGTACGGTGGCGAGGAGTTGATAAGGTGCATGCATCAACTATTATGCAGAATATGGTCAGATGAACGCATGCCCGACGACTGGAATTTAAGTGTGCTCTGTCCAATACACAAGAAAGCATAGGCTACAAGATCTTATCGAGCGTATTGTGTGAAAGACTGAAGCCCGCCGTCAATGAGCTGATTGGACCTTATCAGTGTGGCTTTAGACCTGGCCAATCCACCATAGACCTGGTATTCACAATACGCCAAATCTTGGAAAAGACCCGCGAGAAAAGGATCGACACTCACCACCTGTTTGTCCACTTCAAAGCCGCTTTCGATAACAGTAAAAGGAGCTGCTTATACGCAGATCACTCTTGCCAATAAGTGCTACTTTGGACTGTGAAGGCAATTTAGGAGTAAAATCATCTCTCGACGTATGAAAACCAAACTCTGTAAGTCACTTGTCATGCCCGTGTTGGTACATACATATATAGCGCCGAAGTATGGATAATGACAACATCCGATGAGGCGGCTCTTCGAGTATTCGAGAGAAAGATTTTGCGGAAGATTTACGGACCTTTACGCGTTGGCGACGGCGAGTACC